TGAATGGATGAATGGATGAATGGATGAATGGATGAATGGATGAATGGATGAATGGATGAAGGGATGAATGTTTCAATGTTTGAATGTTTGAATGTTTGGATGTATGTTTATATCCCCATTTTTGATGTTAGATATTCATATATGTACTCTTTTTCTTCTGATATTGCCTGCTTGAACGTTGGTGAATATATCTCATTCAAGAAACATATGTATTAGAATCCTTCTTCTTGCTTTTCGTCGGTTTGTGTCTAAGGTCAACATGCTGTGGGCCCTATGCAAGTCGGTTGATGGATGGCGCTTTCGATATAGAGACCGTAAATTATCACCTTCTTTCTCCATCCCTTATCAACGAGGACATTCTTGGTCTGGCCAGCTTACTTAGGCTAATTCAGGTGACAACTCATGTGAGCTGTTCACAGTTCCATACATCGCCTCCGGATATAGTTTATCTGGGACAAATCAGTGCTTCCGTTTGGTAGAATTGGATGCGATAATCTGCGGCCCCAGCAGCACATGCGTTCCATTGGTCTGGCTGCGGACTTCACTCCCCAGTATGCACCACACTAGGCAGGCCTGGCCGTTATTCCCTGTCCATAACATTGGGAGTTGGTGGAGCAGATCCACTCCTTCAGTGGTCCCATACGATCCCACCTGAGTTTCACAAAACACTAAATTACACACCTCTCTCTATATATTAATATATGTTCAGTTTAACAGATGGGGATTTAGATTGGTATTGGGCGAAGTGTGAACGATTCGCACAACTATTTGCCAAATGGTGTGTGATATTAAATAATCCCTCTCCAGATGAATAATTGATATTATGAAAAATGGGATTTAGTAAACCTGCGTCTTTATTTACTCGTGTAATCCAATTATGCCTAAAGTTAGAAATTAGCCTCCCCTCCAATAAGGCTCGATGGTCCTCCGGTTAGTCTGACGTCTGTTCACCTGGACTTAAATTCATATTATCAGACATTCAAGTGCACTCACATGCACACACACTCACAAACGTACATATACACATGCACATGCCCATATGTACAGGCAGATCCACGCTTCTCATAGACGTGATAACTGTCAATCAGCCCACCTGCTTGCGCTTTGGTGTTAAGGCCTGCGTGGGATACCTTTGGAAGTATGACTATTACTGGAATCACAGCTACTATGCCTGAGGCTGATGGTACCAACTTTGTTGTTGCTGCTATTGTTTAAGTTAAGGCTGTAGCGACTGTCATCTCGAAAAAGGACCATTGCAATTGATAGCATGTTTCTGGGGCCGGCTTGCAGACAGGTGGGTTTAGTTTCGGGTGTTGCTTGTCCCTTTGTACAGCCGGACAATGTGAATGAGGGACAGAAGAGGAGATGACTAACGGGTAGAGGAGAAACGGATTTGCAGAGTTTTGGTCAATGAGACTGTCAAGGCATGGCGGTGGGGATGTGCTGCCATTATCTGGATTGAGAGCATCGACAACCCCACTCCGGGTATGCAATTATGTTCGCCCCCCCTCCGTACGCAGGTAGACCTAAAGCCAGGCACACATCATTCATGTTTGAGACACCAGATGCGACACAATATGCCTCCAAAATAACACATGTGAAGATGAGATTGACAGATGTGCTAAGGCATCACTTAAGCTCCAACACACGCGAATCCGTGTTGAGGTATGCCACCAATTGCTGCAAACACGCAAGTCGCCCGGCCCTCACAAGCCCATTAATGTACTCGGGAATGGGCAGATTCTCCCACGAAGTCCGTGGCCTTAAAGTTGGATCCGCCACTTTGCCTCCTCGGACTCATCCTCGCCTTGTCCGAGCTGCTGCCTTTCCTTTTGGTCCCCACATTTTACTAATTGACTGCGCTAGACTGTGGACGTTAGTTTTTCGTTTATTAGCAGGTTTTCGAGATGTACGTCAGTATGGGTCTACAGGGCTGGATGACTGTCTGCTGGTGCACACTCATTTTAAAGCACTTTTGTCTACTCTTGTCTGAAGGTAAGTATGTCTCTGCGTGCATATGACCTTATGTGATTATGCGTATACTTATCTATATCCATCTATCTATCTATCTATCCGATGTATAATATGATACACAATATAGATTATATACTAAACACATATGCGTGTATATATATGTGAAAATTTCCCGAAATCGTCTGCTGATTGCGCTGCAAACTCCCTCCTTTCACAGTTCTTTTTAGCCTCTTCACCATCAGCTACTATTATGCCCGCATATACACATAATCACATGCAGATTTACGCGCACTCTCTTTCCCAATTATACAAATACACACACGCATGTAGATATATATGTTAGAAATACTATCAGATAAATAACTAAATAAATATATGTTTTTATTCGTGTGTGCATAGTGTGCGTGAATGTACATGTGCTTATGTGTGTGTATGTGGGCATAATGCAAGTTGTGGGTTCAAGGGTCCAAAAGAGCTCTGAAGAGGGGAGGGTTGCATCACCTTCAGCAGACTATTTCGGGATAATTTTGGCGTATTACTGTTGACCAGACGTAATACGTGAGCCCGAGTCTCTAGGCCATTGTGAAGCACATACAATCTTACTTTGGGTCCACTCCTCAACCCAGTATTTGGCCCCATCCTGATCGCAAACCGATTCATTCCTTCCAGTCTGAAGGAAGGTGAAGGCAGAACTGGATTACAGGTTTGACGATTAAAACGTTACTGTCAGAAATACGCCTTAGGGCCAACTGCAAGGACGTAGACACCCTAGTTTGCTTACGGTGGTTTAA